AAAGTCACAACAATAGACTGGCTTTGCATGAATAAATTATATTCACATGTCCTACAATCCGATGATTAATCTAATTTTATAAAATAGATTACGATAAAATATATTTTTTCTGTATATTCTATTTTATTTAAGAGTTTAAAGAGCTTTAATCTATAAAATCAGCATTATATTCATGACTAAATAGAAGTCTGAATGGCTTTTGATTTCCATATTTTAGACCGAATTGATTCGAATGTTTGATGGGTTTATACGCTTTTGGCGTATTTAGGCTCCAGGATTCGAAGTCAATTTAACAATTGGTTAAAGTCGTTTATCGGTATTTATGGCCCACTTTCCTGACCAGAATGTCTAAGTGCAATCAATAAATAGATTATATATTTATTGTACTTTTCTCTTAGTTTGAAAATGTCAGTGTTAATGCTTCGTAAATTGTCCTCATCTTATACCGAGGGGAGATCATATTTGTGTTATGACCGTTGATTTGAGCACAAATGCCAATATCGCTTCGTTTGCACAATTGTTCTAGCGGCTTATATCACGTGCTTCGTTTCTTCATCTACTTAATGTTCGATGATGATTAAGATGATATTTTTTATATTATCCGAAAAATGTTCGTGTTAAAGTATTTTAATAACTTATCCTTGATATAAATCTGTTTTGGGTCCCATTTCATCGTTTTTTAGAGTTGAAAGATAAAAGTGAAGGAGTCATTTTGTCTTTCCATAACAAGCTCCTTCAAAGGTTTCCAATTAAGTAACTATACAATAGTCTATTGTCATACTCCGGCTTTACGTGCTATCGAGATTAAATTTTAATTCCTTTCGTTTACTTTATAATATTTTGGTGCAGATCCGTTAAAACTCTTCGTAATTTGGCAATAACTTTGATTTTACTTTTGATGAATTCGTATCTATGTTGTTTGGGATAGTCAGAATCTCATATATAAAAATGTCTTATCGTTTTGTCTAATTGCATTTTCGATTATCTTTAACTTCCATTAACTTCTGTATTTAGCAGTTACAATTAAATGCCGTTGCCGCTCAGGCCAATTTGGCTGGCCAGCATCTGGGTGGTACCTCTGTCGCCCTTGCTTCCTTATCCTCACCTACTACGAAACTTTCCGCCAACTCCACCGGCTTATCCAACGGCAGTCGAGCCCGTGTGCACTCAGCCATGGCTTCTGGTGCTAAACCTGTCCATACTTCTATGGCTCTGGCAGTTGCTGGAACTGGCCAATCCACTCCTATTCACTATGTAATTGAGACGTCTCCAGCTCACTCGCATCAGATTCAGCAACATCACGTCGCTACTGCTCTCCAGCATCACTCTCCACATCATGTTCATCAGCAGCAGAAACAATTCGTCACTAGTCATCGCTCTCAACAACATCAACATCAGCACAATCTATCAATGCATCGGACTCAGTTCGCGCAATCTCAACATTCTCAGCAGCAAACATCTGGCTTACGGCGTTACACTCTTCCTCGACTACCACAGACCACTCATCAGCTTGAAGGTGAGTTAACTAGTTTATTTTTTACCACAATTTTTGCTCTACCTTCTTGATCGGTCTTTTGAAGAGTTTGGTTAATATTAGATATCTTTCTGCTGTCATAGTAGACTGCTTCTTTAAAAATAAATTTTTCAATTGTCCCATTACTCAGGCTTTTTTAGACTTCTTGGTCCAGTACACTTTTATTCGGATTGCATAGGCTGCGAAACTACCGATTGATCTTGAGCATGAGCTATATTCACCATAGATCACACAAGGTGATGAAGGACTGGTAGTTGAATTTTCCATATTGATATAAGTGGTTCTCATGATGCAAATGAATTTCATTTAGACTTGCCTTTTTTAAAGAGAATACCTTTTGGTAAGCAAAGCTAAGTGAAATTCAATGGCGTTGTGAGACATACTCATACCTTTGGGGGAAAATTTAACCATTACCCCTTTATCACCTTATGCCACTTAGAATGAATACAGTTTTGATCTTATACACTTTGCGTGACTGCTTCGATATATTTGTGTCCTTAGGCTATATAAAATTATCTATTCCTTCAAAGGTATTGTTGATCATTTAGATGGTTGCTTTGTGAAAATGCTTTAATGTTTCTTGTGCTGAGCTTGAGGGACAGACTATGTGTTGAATCTCATTGTCTCTGAATCCTAGTACCGGCAAAAGAGTGATGTTTAAGACACAAGCTATTTAATTAAAATATATGTTTGCAATTAAAAGCTTTGGAGTTCATTACCAACTTTTATAGCTTGTTCTTTGCCTTCGTTTTATTCATGTTTACTATGGAACACAAAAAACGATGTCTACAATTATTCAGGCGAATATGGATGTCAAAGACCATCGAGGGCTCCTAGCTGGTTTAACAGATCGTTAGGCCCTTTTCATATCTGATCAAACCTGGAATTATACCGATTTCAGATATTCATTCGATATTCTACACCCCATTCTCTTCTCTGGAGCTTGTAATATCTTCAGTAGCCCAATTTTATAGCTTATTTGATACCTACGACTTATAATAAGTTATGCAATGTTTTATATTGACTCTTTAAATAAGAAGGCCAAATGAGTTGTGCTAAAATAAACTTCATTTTTTTCACCATACATCTCTCAGCATATTCCACTCTCACCTTGATCTGTTCTAAACTTCTTGTCAAACCCTGTTTTTTTAGCATTAACTTTTAATAAATGAGATAGTTTCAACTTTAAAATATCTCGACTGCTTCCGTTTATCATCTTACAATGCACCGAGGTCACTTTATGGTAAATGTGACTTTAATCATTAAATTTCTGAGATTAATTTAAAACTTGTGAAATTCCAATCATTCGTGGAGCTCATTTCTTTTTTTTTAAACGTTCCTATCAACGTGATTTCTTCCGGTTTCCATCTATATAGGACGACTGCTACTGAGATGTATTTGGTATAGGCCTTATCTCTACAAGCTCCCAGTACTCTTTGAGCGTAAACAATTGCATCAATTACCGCATTTGACTTTGCTAAACACCTAGTGGCAATTCTCTCTCATATTATTTGTTTGATCTTGTTTTCACAAGTTGTTCATATTGGTAGGAAGACCTTGAGGAACGCACCTTGTCCTGAGTCCATCGTATGCATGATACTTTCCAGAGTCAGACCGCGGACTTTGTACATTCCCAGATGTTTCATCGGCGTCGTCATTCATTCTTGTAATTTTCAGCACCAAACTGAAAATCATCAAAGAGACAAGTGAAGTCAATCTCCTGATCAACTTTCTGCCGAAACGGTATTGCTATCGCTTATTTTTCCATCCTGAAATGTATATGGTAAGACAAGACTACGTATCGTATGGTAAAGAATGACCCAACTATGAAAATCAATAGAACCTTACTAGACGTGCTGAAAATTACGCATATGAATGGGGAGATCAATGGATGGACACTATATTCACTAATAAAAAAGGATGCTTATGGGTTACCAAAATTACACAATAAGGAGAACAACTAAGGCTGCTAGCTAACAACAAGTTTGAAGCAACACATAAATTATCAAAGTTCATATGTCTGAAATTCAAGAAGGAAAATGACATTATCAAACCCAGTGGAGCCTCTATTAATTTTCTCAGAGGATCAAAAACATAGCACTGGAAGAAACAGACTTACTGGTAAGTTTTGATGCACAATCTATTTACACAAACATTTCTGGAGAAGAAGGGTTAACGATTCTGGTATAATTTTTGGATCGAGAGAAGGATATCCTAGAAGCAGAGAGTATCACAATGGAGTCGTTAACATGAATAATCAAGTTGGCAATTGCAACAGATATGGACAAATATTTGGGCTCCTATGGGATCGCCGCTCTCACCTGTCAAATGCTTACATGAACAAATAATAAGAGAATTTTAAGAAGTCACCACTGTGACCAAGAATTCCTATGCGATATATGGATGACTACTTTGTAATATGGTCAAGGAACAGCAAAGGCTCTGCAGGAAAATAGATACTGAAAGATCGGATATAACGGTATACATCACAGGGACTGGACACGAGATCATTTGGCAGGCAACAGAAAGAAGGGCCTCATACGGTGAAAGCACGAAGAAACGGAATATTAGAGAGGCCGTCGATATCCGTGGGGAAAAATATTTAATGAACAAGAGATTGGAAGAAGGCAGAGTTAGTGATAACTTTTACTTATTGCCTAATCAAACTCGGGTAAAACAGGGATGCAACAAGACAAGCAAAAATGATACGCCTTGATCAAGGACCTATCATAAACTAGAGGAAAAGGGATCGCAAGGAGGGTGAGGATGTTTATGAAATAAACCGAAGACGTTCTCAGCAAGTGTAGTCTGCTCGAATAAACAAGTACAATTTTGTGAGCCTGACGTGACTAGGGAGAGGGATTGTGTCACATAAATTGTGCATTATGACCAAATAAACTAATAATCCATTTGAGATACATCAGGCGACCAGAGATAGATGTCCACAGTTTGCTGAGGGTATATGGGTTCAATCTAGGATATAATGTATGAAGGTAATGCCTAATATCCGCGAGCATGAGAATCAGGATGTAGGCGCCCTTCAGATGAATCGACTTTGTACGTGCTACTGAAGGCTTGAAAAATAGCACCTGGAGCAAAAGTAAGCAGACTGGAACCGAGTGAAATCGGTCAATCGGAAAGATAAGAAACGGAGCTAAGTACCCATGAGGCAGACCTGGACAGGAGGCTTGAGTCGGATCAGCTACTCGAAAGGGAGGGGAGCAATGCAAACAGCAGGTGGGATGGCGCTACGGTAAATTTGCTGAAAGAGCACACCTCTTGTGGAATATAGACGTCAGAAGTTGTGATAGGACGAGGGCGAGACTAGAAGGTAAGAAATGGATAGAGGGACCTGGACAAAATGAAAAGTGATAGCATAACCGTCTCGACAGTAAGTTGTTCAAGAGATTGACTTGTCTCTGACAAGTTGCAGCTTGGTGCTGAGAATAGCAAGACTCACTGGTGATGCCGGCAATACGTCTGAGAATGTACTGAGTCCACGGTCCGTCTATGGAGATTATCATGCATACTATGGACTCCGGACAAGGTGCTTTCCTCTAGATCTTCCTGCCAACATGACGAAATTGCGAAAACGATGTCATTTCTACTAAACACAGAAAGAAGACTGCCACTAAACTAGAGGCCACAACATCTTGATCTGTGTATTTACTTCTCTCATTTTTTATGGCTTTATCCTTATAAAATTTTCTCAAAAAATTTATATGCAAATTTAAAAACTAATTATTTGACATTTCCCTCTTTATTTTCGCATTTTCTATTCAACATTTTAAAAATATACATTACTAAACCTATTCTCTTAAGCGTGTATACTTTTCTTCATCATCCATATCTAAAAGAGTAAACGAATCTTACATTTATTTAGTCTCGTTTTGAAGTTTTTAGCGACCTGAATCCTGAGCAAAAAAACTAAATGTGCTCTGCTATCTTTTTAGGCGGGAAGCTTAGAGAAATATTGGAAACAAGTCGATATTATATATGAGAATTGGAACCTATCTCTTCGTTTCGCTTTATTAGAGGAGACGAAATATTTAAATTCAAAATTTATTGTTTAGGAGCTTATATTCTGCCTCCATTTTACCCGTTACTAATATAATATCACTCGTATCCCTCCATAGTATGAAATAGTTCTTGTAAAGGTCACTTTAATGTGCATCTTCGAATCCAGACTGTTTTTTAACATTATTTATTTTGCTTTGTTATTGAGGTACTCAGTTAACCTAATAGTAATACCCTGCTCAGTCATATTACATTTTAGATTGCCTGACTATTTATTTGTCTACGTCCTTACTTTACTTTTATTCACCTTTCTACCTATCAAATATATCTTGCTTCCATCTGCTTAATGTTATATTTATCCTTCTCTTTATCTTCCTATCTTTATAAGTTCCGTCCACATTTTTCATTAACTTACTATATCAACTTTGTTTCCATACACTTATTAACCTTTAGCTCCAACTGGTTTCTTTCATTTTCCTATTTTTCACCTAGGTGGGCGTGGATCCTCATCTATGGAGGGTACGTCTTCTGCATCCACAACCTGTTCCACTATTCGAACTGCAGATCATGCATCGTTAGCAGCTGGCCAGTCTTCTAATGGTAGTGCAGTTGAGCAGACGCAGATAGATGAGGAGGGCACTGTGCGTCAGCTAACTTCAAGTCAGCGCACTAAACTAGCCCAAGATCTGACTGTAGTGGAAACAAATCTTCACGTGCTCACCGATATGCTCAGTGAGCTACAACCAGACAGCGTGGGTCAAGACGATCTACAGCTGTTGCAGGTACGCCACTGGACGCCCTTTAAATCTTTTATAACCCTCATTTACCGATTTATGCTTTAAAGCTACATTCTAGCCAAGTTTTGAAGCATTTTTTTCCGATCAATGTTCCTACAAATAATAATTACTTGTCTATTCAAGTAGTATTTTAAATTTACTATTGGAAGAATTTTTGAATTAAAAAATATCGCTAGATTGATTGATTTATTTATTTTATTCACTAGACCCTCCATAGGACTTGAGATGTACACTAGGTGTTCAGTCTTCGGGATCTAATAACAGATATAAGAGATTACTTATAGTAAGCAATAGTTCAATATCTTTATTTGCCAATAATATGCTATAGATATGAAGAGTTACTGGGTTTCGATGAATCTCCTGAGATAAAATTATTGCTAGGACTTTCATTTCGTATGAAAGTGTATGAAGAAGAGATTC